CATTAACCAAGATTTTCTGAATTTTATTGAGTAAGTATAACTAATTACTTCACGTAGGCAAGTATAAATATCTAAAGTATTTGTTAGTTGATCAATGACATCGTGAAATATGAATGGCATTAATTTAAATAAGCATAGCTTCTGACTTGCTGAACCAATTATATTATTATTTGTAAGATGTGTTAGACGAATTGTAGGCGGTTTATTAACCTGATCATTTATTCCGTAACTAAATGATGTGAACACAGAAAATAACTTATAGCAATTAGATAAAAACAACATTCTTCTTTATACCCTCCGCATAATCATGCATCAAATCATTTGGCAAAGATTTGATTGCATGAAAAGCAATCAATTTGGACAAAGGACTTTCGCCTACAACACCAGCAACAGGTCTTGTATTAAACAAGTTTACAGCTTGTCGAACATTCGCATCATGTGTAGTTACTGTGCGTGGTAGAAATGAAATCTCTGTTAATGGAACCAATCTGAATTTATAAGAAATGTGACATAATCGACAAAATTGTCCCGAATTAAAATTTTGTTGAAATCCGCCAATTTCGTGAGATGCAAGATTGTCAGCTGCGAATAAGCTAAATGCAAAATGTAATTGTCCATTGAATGTTTGAACAACTAAACCAGTTGTTTGTAAATGATTCAAATCTTTTATAATAGGTTCAAAAAAATTCATACGATTTGTTTGTATCGATAAAAATTTTGTCGGACATATTCCAACTAGACCAATCGATTGCAACATGGGTTTTACAAAATCTGGTAAATCTTCTAAAAGGAAATAATATAAAGTAAGTTTATGTTTGTCCTTCTTTGGACCTAGAGGATTTGTTATTCCAATTCCGTCTGAATAGAGTTGAATTAAAAATGAATTAGGATGAAGTTTTAATGAAGGATTATCTTTTGCTGCAGTACCGTCTCGGTACGTTAACATCAAATCAGGATCATTCTTCGTTTGTGATATATTATTATTCACATTATTAATTAAATAATTAATAACATCTGGTTTGTTCAATAAATTTTGAATACTTCTTTCAATTGGAACATAATAACCACAATTATTTTTATCATCTAGTTCAATTTTTAATGGCTCTGTGTATCCAAAATAATCTGTGCAGCGTTTCAGGAATTGATAGTCGTTCTTAGAAATATCATATATTAAGTTTTTTATTTGTAATAATACTTTTCCTATATCAACTAATGAGATTAATGGATTTGTTGATCATTGTATTGCTTGATTTTCGATTAGTTTAAATAATGCGTCCAGCATAGCTGTGAAATAAGATGTGATTGATTTAATGATGCCTTGTGGTAATAAATGTCCTTCACGTAAATCAAGTAGAAAACGAGTGTAATGTTTTTCAAATGAATTGAAAGTAAACTCCTTATTATGATCTTCTGTATTGGTTAAATCTGTAAATAATGACCAATCGATAAGAGCTTCATTTATATTTGTATCTTCCAACGTCTCTGATTCACCCTCATCTG